ACACACACACACACACACACACACACACACACACACACACACACACAGCATTTTACTGGTTTTAAGTAGTTTACTATAACCTAGGATTATAGCTGCTAATGGTAGAGCTGCCCCGGTCTGGGCTTTGTCATTTGTGCCTCTGGATATTTTCAGATGATCCTGAAGCTGATCCAACAGGAGGAAAATCCATCAGAATCTCAGACTACAGCACTAAATATGCTTTGATGCTACATCAAAAGGAATGGAAGCATAACTGACTTCACTAAAGCTACTTCATCTCCATCTAGCAAATGAGGCACTTTTCTCAACCAAAGGAGATGGGGATCTGGTTTAGGGCAATCCCTTTATAATTTGATGTGCTGTGGTCTCCTCGATAATGTATAATTTGGTATTGCACAGAGGTGATTAATCAAGGAAGTCTGGAAAAGCTTTGGTCCCACAGCCGTGCCTCAGAGCATGTAAATAATTAAAACAATATTGATGCTGAGGTTCTTCCACTGCTAGTATGAAAGTGACAAATTTTTACTGGTGTGAATTGGGAAGAAAACAGTGCTATTCCATGACACGTTTGCAAAATTTTTGTTTGTTTAGAGAAGCTCAAACACAACAATTCCATAAAATAAACCAGAGGTTAAATAAAGGGTAGTAAATTACAGCATGTATAAGGAAAAATGTATAGGAGAAAATCAATTATCAGGAAAGCTAAAGAACTTTTCAAATCTAGTAATTCGAATATAGACACAATGCACCTTATTACACTTTCAATTCTCGTAAAGCGACAATAGTATTAAGGTCCTTGACTACGTGTATAGTATTTTCACATATATTGTTTCATTTAATCATTTCAAAGTTACTCTCTGCCATCTCCCTAAATTATCAGTCTCGGCTCTTCTGAAATAGAAGGTGCCCGATCTTCCTAATAATTCTGCCTATTTTCATTTGCTTTAAACAGGTGCCCTATTTTCTTTCTGGTTGTGGCTACTGCAAAAACAAATATTTATCTCCCAAATAAGATGTACTGCTTACCGAAGTATCACGGGGTGGGGCTCCAGAGTGGGTTGTTGAAGCTGGGGTTTGGGAAACCACTTCAGAGATGGCAGCAGCAAGTTTAGCATCTTCAAATTTCTTTTATTGAAAAAATTTTATTAGTAACATGTTATATATAAAATTATGCCATCACTTAACTATAACTCTTAAAGATAGCTTAATGACTGTTTATTCTCTTGATCCAAATAGATTCATAATAACATAGAATTATTATTATTTTTGAGATGGAGTCTTACTCCATCACGAGGCGGGAGTGCAGTGGCATGATCTCGGCTCACTGCAACCTCCGCCTCCTGGGTTCAAGCAATTCTCTGCCTCAGTGTCCTGAGTAGCTGGGATTACAGGTGCCCGCCACCATGCCCGGCTAATTTTTGTATTTTTAGTAGAAACAGGGTTTCACAATCTTGGCCAGGCTGGTCTTGAACTCCTGACCTTGTGATCCACCTGCCTTGGTCTCCCAAAGTGCTGAGCTTACAGGCGCGAGCCACCACACCCAGCCAATAACATATAATTTTAAAAGCAATTTAAATTCTCTTTCTTCTCTATCACATTATTTTATACAATATCCTATTTCTATTTCCTTCTCATATTTATTATTGTAAATACAGTGCAATCATATAATAACTTAGAGTTCCATTGTTTGTTTACACATTTCCTGTTGTACATTCAAGTTATTCAAAGTTTTCAGCTCTTTTAAAATTGTTCTGAATAAGTTCTAGAAGTGGGTATTTTTATGGTGCTGGCTATATTCTGCCAAACTGACTGACCACTCAAGTGTTGCTAGGAATTCATACTGTGAAAAGCAATGAATAAGCATGCCTGTTTTCCCATGGTCTTGCTTGCCGGGATTTGACTTTTTTTTTTTTTTTTTTTTTTTTTTTTTTTGAGACAGAATCTGGCTCTGTCGCCAGATGCCAGGCTGGAGTGCAGTGGTGCGATCTCAACTCATTGCAACCTCTGCCTCCCAGGTTCAAGTAATTCTCTTGCCTCAGCCTCCCGAGTAGCTGGGACCACAGGTGCGCACCACCATGAACAGCTAATTTTTGTATATTTTAGTAGAGACAGGGTTTCACCATGTTGGCCAGGATGGTCTCGATCTCTTGACCTCATGATCCACCTGCCTCGACCTCCCAAAGTGCTGGGATTACAGGCGTGAGCCACCGCAGCTGGCCCAGAATTTGACTTTTCTTCCATATTTTTATTTCTGATAATGAGTGTAAAATGATATACTACTATTGCTTGCATATTGTGCTATATGGTGTCAGGTTTAGTTTTTTTTCAATGTTAAATATTATTCCAGAAACTTTCTGAAATAATTTCCTTTTAAAAAATATTGCATATTTGTTTCATTTCAAATACTCCCTTTTGATAAAAAACTTAGGTATAACTGTTGATGAAAAAATCAGAAAGAAGTCCAGAACTCTTTGGTGACTCCAACTATGGATAGCCTGTTTTGAAAAAAGATAATTCCAAATTTTACCGAAAGACGGAGAAAAGCACATTAAAAAGATACCAATATTCAGAAATTTATCTCAGCATGTTATTATTAGAGATTACTTAAACTAATTTAGATAACTATAAGATACTTTTTGTCCATTTATACTCTGTAAAGCCATTTTAGAATATTTTAGGTAATCTAAAATGTACTAAATTAAATACAACTTATTTCTAGTTATGAGAAATCTTTGCTTATATGACAAATGAAAAGAATAACAAGTTGTCAAATGAAAAGAATGACATACTGAAACATTTGTATTGTCTCTTCTTAGACTATCTTATTGACATCATTTAAGTTTTTTAATACTAAGTATGAAACAATCTATGGTCTGGAAATTTGTTTTGCAAAGCTATATGTGCATATGTTATTTAATTCATCTGATATTACACAAAAGTATAAAATAATGATTTTTCACTCTTTTAAAAAATACTAAATCTATCATTTATGTCCATTTCTCAATTTTTCCATTGATCTATGCTATGAATTTGCTCTCTAAACATTACTGTATTTTCTATTTATTTATAACATATGCTAGTGTTTAGTTGGATTAATCTTACCTAAAAGTACTGAAAGATGCTTTTCAGTATTTTTTCATATTTTATACATTTATTTTTCAAATATATCTTTGAATAATTTTATTGAATTATAAAAGTATCATGTTGCTATTTAATAAAAAATTAACATATAAAATGACTTGAATTGCCATCATTTTTTTAAAGATATTTAGTTAAACTGACTTAATGTATGGTCTTCAATTTTTTTGTGTACTTCTTTTTCTTTTTCTTTTTTTTTTCCAAGAGAGAGTCTCGCTCTGTTGCCAGGCACCAGGCTGGAGTGCAGTGGTGCAATCTCGGCTCACTGCATCTTGCCTCCTGGGTTCAAGCAGTTCTTCTGCCTCAGCCTCCCACGTAGCTGAGACTACAGGCACACCCCACCATGCCCAGCTAATTTTTTTTTATTTTAGTAGAGAATGGGGTTTCACCATGTTGGCCAGGATGGTCTCAATCTCCTGACCTCGTGATCCACCCGCCTGGGCGTCCCGAAGTGCTGGGATTACGGGCGTGAGCCACTGCACCCGGCTATTTTTCTAATCATTTCTCCTTTGTAGTTTACATAAATCTGATTTCATATTAGTTACGTTTTCTCATCTCTTGTTACTAATATACATGGCATAATGTTACTTACAAATATATTATCTACAAGTAGTGCTATCCACAAATATATTCAAATGTTCCCTTTTAATGTTTGTTATTTGTTTTTCATGTGTTGGTAATGATTCTTCCATATGATAATAAGCAGAAATGACAATAAACTTTTCAGTTTTTACTTTTAAGGAAAATGCCTCTAGCATGATATCGAATATTTGATTCTAAAAACTAAAGCCTCTTTAACCCATTAAGGGATTGTCTATTTTTTAAAAGTTTTTAGTTATAATATGAATGTATGTAAAATTTTAAATATATATTTTACATGGACATAATAATTCGATCGTTTCTATTTGATATACCACTACAATATATTGACAATTTTCCTGCTACTGAATCAATATTTATGATAATGGCAAATAGTTTCTTAAACATTTGTTATGTTTTATTTATGTTGTATGTAATTTTTACATCTACAGGTTTAAGTAACTTTAGCTGATACTGTTATATTTGTCAGATTTTAAGGTTAGCACCATAATTACTCATGGAAGCAACTGTGTGACCCCATCTTTTTCATGACATATTTATGCCACATAAGAACTGAGTGTTCAACAGTTAAAGGAGTCATCTTTAAACCTTCAGTAGAAGGAGAGTTTGAGAACCAATGCAATCTTTTCTTCAGTTTTTTATTATTATTTTTTAATCTAGGTTTTGTGAATTATGTAGTTTTATATTTTTGTTTAATCTTAGAAAATTGTTGTACGTAGTGTTTCCTAATAATTTAGTTGTGGTCTTGTACTGATTATTGTATTTTCTCAAATTTATGTTACATTTAGTTAGTAAGATTATTTTCTCTATTATATTTACCAGTGTTTTGTAAAATGTTAAAAATTCATAAAAACCAGCTGACTATTGGCTTTAAACTACTGATAATTGAGTTGATCTCATATATTATTATATTACTCTTAAAATTTAATTTTTTGTAAGATTGTTTTCCTCTTTTGCATTTGCTAGTATTTCATAAAGTATTTGTTATTTCAAAAGAGACAACTATTGCCCAGTTAACTTCCATGCTGCTATTTTCATTTCCTGGTATGCTTATTGCTACTTTCTTTGGGATGGTTACCTTATTATAACTTTTAGAAATTTTAAGTGTAAAATTCAATAAACATTTGGTTTGTCAGGTTTCTCTTTTTCTCTATCTCCATTATTGATGAAGGCGTTTATGACAATAAATGTATCACATGAATACTGCTTCAGGTGCCTCTCAAAGATTTTTATTTGTGATATCTTTGATGTTTTAAAATAGTCTATTATCAAGGTGATTTCAGTATTATTAGGAGAATATTTTTAAGTTTTTCTTTTTATATAGCATTTATGTTCTATTTTATTATGATCAAAGAGCATGGTATGTACGGGAGTTACTCTTTTATATATGAACATTAATTATGAGCCATATGTGATAGTTTTCCCCCAAAGTTCTAGGAACTTTCCCCTAAATAACCTTCTATTTTGATTATTTGGTTCTCTTATTAGTTATTTCTACTTTCTTAACTATATTGTTGACACTAATGTTTTTCTTTGCTACTTTTTAAGAGCAAGAAATTTTTTTAAATGGTTGTTTCATCTCACCATTTCACTGCTACATATCTTTGAGGGGGGCATATATATGCATTGTTACTTTTTCCAAATCTTTGAATTTCTAAAAGAAAAAAAAAACCCTAACTATTGTAATAACGATAGCAGGGGGAAGGGAATTGAGATCGTGTTCCCCCACAATTTGTTCATATGTTCTGCATTAGTGTATTGATATGACTCTCCACAGTCCTGGGATACTTCTCATATTGTATTCTCCCCTGTATCTTATGGTTTCTAAATTAAGGCTGGAGTGCTTTGCCTGTGATGTGGTCTGTATGGAAGAGGATGAGGGGAAGATCATGGGATGAGGTGACTGAGCAGCATGGTGCTTTTACAGGGGTACAGAGAAGAACATGCTCTGGTTAGTAAGCCCTTCCTTGAGGGGCTTTATTGCTTCATTCAACAAAAGCAAAAACTTCAGGCAATTCCAAAGAATCATTATTTCTTCTAGTTGTCATTCTGTCTATTCTCCAACTGATATATTTTCTATGCCACTGTCATAGAAACCGTTAATCTCTTTTCCAACTGACTGCCAACAATACATTCAGTGGTTTAAAAACTGAGTTCCTGGCTGGGGGAAGTGGCTCATGCCTGTAATCCCAGCACTTTGAGAGGCCGAGGTGGGCGGATCATGAGGTCAGGAGTTCGAGACCAGCCTAACATGGTAAAAGCCCGTCTCGAATAAAAGTACAAAAATTAGCTGGGCGTGGTGGTGCACACCTGTAATCCCAGCTACTCAGGTGGCTGAGGCAGAAGAATTACTTGAACCCGGGAGGCAGAGGTTGCAGTGAGCCGAG